CAGCTGCCCGTGGCCTGCTCACGCCGCCCGCCTCGCCGCTGGAGCTGTTGGAGGCCAAGCCCAAGCGCGGCCGCCGCTCCTGGCCCCGCAAGCGCACAGCCACGCATACCTGCAGCTATGCCGGCTGCGGCAAGACCTACACCAAGAGCTCGCACCTCAAGGCACACCTGCGCACGCATACAGGTGGGGCGCGCTGGGCACCCCCTGGGGGCTCAGGAGGTGGAGGTAGGGCCTGGTTGAGGATCCCCTGGGGGCAAGGCTGATGACCCCGGGGGCGTGGCTCAGGAGATGAGGGTGGGGGCATGCTGGAGACCCTCCCGGGAGTGTGGCTCACGAGGTGGGGTAGGAGCCCATTGGGGACCCCCTGGGGGCGAGACTGAGGACCCCTAGGAGTGTGGTTCAAGAGATGGGGGTAGGGGCTGGTCAAGGGCCCCCTGGGGGGCGAAGCTGAGGATCCCTGGGGGTGTGGCTCAAGAGGCGAGGGTAGGGGCCCTCTGAGGACGCCCCTGGGGTCATGGCTCAGGAGGTGGGGTAGCAGCCTTTTGGGGATCTCCCTGGGGGCAAGACTGAGGACCCACTGGGAGTGTGGCTCAGGAGGTGGGGGTAGAAGTGTGCTCTTAGCACCCCTGGGGACCAGGCTGAGGACCCGTGGGGGCATGGCTCAGAATGTTGAGGAGGGGGCGTGTTAGGACTCTAGGGGTGAGGCTTACAAGGTTGGAGAGTGGGGGGCTCCTGCCTAGGAACTCCAGGGGCTCAAAACATTGGGGGCGTACTTCTGGGCACCAGAGTAGCCACTATCTGGGTGTGGGCGAACGCCCGGGGACAGAAGCAGGAAACTGAGGCACGCCCTGCCCCCTCCTCGCAGGCGAGAAACCTTACCACTGCAACTGGGACGGCTGCGGCTGGAAGTTCGCGCGCTCTGATGAGCTTACGCGGCACTATCGCAAGCACACGGGCCACCGGCCATTCCAGTGCCACCTGTGCGACCGCGCCTTCTCGCGCTCGGACCACCTGGCGCTGCACATGAAGAGGCACCTGTAGCCCAGACGCCCCTCACCCCCTGCGCCGGCTGTGGCGGGTCCCACAAGCTGGTGCGGCCCCCTCTTGACTGTGATTGGTATTTATTAGGCCCAGAGGACCGGGCCCGGCACAGCGTGGCCACCCAGGGGCTCCCCGGGTCCGCCGACCCGGCCCCTAGCCCCAACGGAAGGCCCCGTGGGAGAAGACGCCCACATTCTCCTTGACGAGTTTTGTTTTCAAAATGGTGCAATAATTAAGTGTCTTCTTCCCCGCTCCGGGTCTACACTAGAGAGGCTCGAGACTCGACGCTCTACGCCTTGTGAGAAATACAGCCTTAATGTGTACTGTCTGCGACGTTTTTATATAATATTGTACATAGCGACTCTGACAAATATGGTATTAATGTAAATAGGAAGACAGTGGGCATTTTGAACGCCTGTTTCATTTTTATAAGAAAAAGACTTTTCTGTTTTTTTAATAAAAAAAAAAAAAAAGTTTTGCATCTTTTCAAAAATCACAGGGCTAGTCTGCCCGCATGGGGACTGGGGACAGCTTTAGTGGAGGGTTGCCTGGCAGAAGAGGGTGGCATGAGTCTGGCTAGACCTGCATCTAGGGTTCCCAGCTGCAGTGCCCAGCTGCCAGGAACCTGTGGGTTTCCCTATAAATTTAAACACTGCATTTTAGGACTGAGGGAGGGTTATTTTAAGGTTGTTCCCCAGGCCATAAATTGCCTCCCTGGGGAAAGGGCCAGTCCCACTGACGCGGCAGCCTCAGGGCTGAAAAAAGCTGCCTTCTGAAAGCCTCTGCGGTTTTAGCCAAACTTCTGGAGTGTGCGGGCATAGGTAAGAGTCTCCAATCTTTCTAGGGAGCTTAAATTCATGGGTAATGTTTGGAGTTTCTGATGTGCTTTGTCTTTTACTAATCTTGCTGCTAACTAAGGGTTGGCAGTTCAAACTTCCCCAGAGGCACCTTGAGAGAAAGGCCTGGTGATCTGCTTCCAAAACTTCACAGCTTTGAAAACCCTATGGAACACAGTTCTACTTTGCACACATGGGGTCGCCATGAATTAGAATCGACTGGAGGGTAATTAACAACAACAACAACATCTTGCCTTTTAATAGGTTTTCTTTTTTTTTTTTTTTTTTTAGTGGTAAGCTCCCCATCCTGCTAGAAAAAACCCCACATTCGAGGGCCAGGCATGGTGCCCTTTTCCAAAAGAGAAAACTGAGGCTCAGTGAGGTAGCTACAGAGTTGTGGAGTTAAGGGCCAGCCCAGGTCTGTCTGCCTCCCGAAGATCCCCCAACTCTACTAGCAGGAATGTGACTTTCTGTTGCTTGCCTCCCCCCCACCCCGATGTCATTGTGCAAACGGGTCATAATAGATAGCAGAGCCTCTGGGAGACCCCTGCACCCCACCCAGGGAAGGATTAACCAGTAAGCAAGGTACGCACAGGCTTATTTGTGTTTACTTACTAATCTGTAGTGAACGATTTCACCCGTTTTTCACCACGTCTTTGATGTGGTGAAACCACGTAAAAATGTGCACTATAGATAAGTAAGTAAGCACAAGTAAACCCATACGTACCTTGCTTATTGAGTAATTTGTCCCTGAATTCCCACCCAGGCGTCTTCTTTGGCGGCTCCCCCTGCCACCCTGTTCTCTGAGCCCTGGGACACCATGGCCACCAACCATTGCACACGTTGTTTCCAGAAAGTGAAAATAGCTCATTAAAGCAGCACCTGTTTTTAAAACTCTCGCCCCCATTGTGACAGAGGCTGGGATTTCCTCCCTCCTTCCTCCCCCTGGAAACAGCTGAGGGTGTTGGGTAATCCACAAAAAGCAGAAATGGAGATGACAATCTGATTCATCTTTCTCGAGTAAATAGCCCTGGCCCACTTCCGTGGGTGCTGAAGGACGCGTGTTTTTTTGAGCTGCTTGTGCTATCTGGGTGCAGCTTCTGCAAAAACAGTCCCAGAACACAGCAGTGGCCCCGGGACCCTGGACACGCACCTCCTGGCTCAGACCTGGCCTTTGGGGCACTGGGGGAGAAGAAAGACTGAAATGGTACTTTAAAGACATTTCAAAGGGTCTCCAGGCTTTCTAGTGAGTTTAAACTTATGGTTTAAGCCATTTTCTTTGCATGTTCGAAAACACCGCCCAGGTTTCCCCTCTTGGCACCTGAGTTGGGTGAGAAGCCCGTTGAAACGGGACTGAAGCTGTTGAGTTTCTGTTTTTTTGAGAGCTTCCAACATATAGAATAGAAAGTGTCACCCTCTAACCCAGCTGTGTTTGAGCTGGAGACACAGGGTCAGGCAAAGGGCTGGCCCCTTCCTGGATCCCAGAGTCCTGGGTGATGCAAACGGTGAACAATGCTCAGCTGCTGACTGAAAGGTTGGGGGTTCGAGTCCACCCAGAGGTGCCTCAGAAGAAAAGCCTGGTGATCTACTTGTGGAAAATCAGCCATTGAAAATGCTATGTAGCAATTCTCCTCTGAAACACATGGGGTTGCCATGAGTCAGAATTGACCACTGACCCCCCAGCTGGTTTGGTTTTGGGGTTTTTTCCTGAATCTCAAATTGCAATTTCCATTAAACATCTGCTGAATCTGTGGTTCAACCAGGGTGACTTGGTCTTCCCCAAGGGACACTTACCAATGTCTGGAGACTTTCATGGTTGTCACACTCAAGGCGTGTGCTACTGGCATTGAGTGGTTGGAGGCCAGGGATGCTGCTCATCACCCCACAGTGCACAGGACAGCCCCATCACAGAGATCAGTCGGTCCCAAATGTCAGCAGTGCCAAAGTGAAGAAACCTTGCATTAATTATTTGGAAAAAATTTGAGGTCGATCCCTACTCACACCATACGTCAGAATAAACTCCCAATGGGTTAGACAGTATGAGCCAGGGTGACACTCCAGCTTCTGTGATTTCCCTCCTCTCTCCAGTGGTTAAGCGGTCACCTGCTAACCAAAAGGTCGGCAGTTCGAATACACCAGCCACTCCTTGGAAACCCTATGGGGTAGTTTTACTCTGTCCAAGAGGGTCGCTATGAGTTGGAATCGGCTCGACGGCAACGGGTTTTTTTTCTCCCTCCCCACTCTGTGGATTTGAATACGTGCAGCGTCCTAGGACTTCAATAGGTCAGATCATTATGGGATGCAGAGTCACTTGGGGATCAGTGGAATCCCCTAACCCAGGGGTCCTCACCAGGGGCAATTCTGCCTCCCAGGGGACAATTGGTGATGTCTGGGAACATTTTGGGGTTGTCATACTGGGAGGGGGTGCTACTGGCATCTGGGGGGTGGAGGCCAGGGATGCTGCTCAACACCCTGCAGTGCATACGATGCCCCCCACCACAGAGAATGTTCCTGAACCCAATGTCGACGGGGCAGTGGTTGAAACCTGCTCCAGATCCTAAAAGGTCAGCTCTGCTTTTGTTAACAAGGAGGCAGCCCTGTCCCAGGAAGCAAGCTTTGCTGGCAAATGTCACCCAGAGACTGATGTTTAAATGAAACCTCACAGTCAGACCCACTCTCAGATCTGTGTGAGAACACAGGACACCTAAACCCATCCCTCTCCGTTCAAGAAGTCCTGGCATCCATGGCCATGAAAGAAAATGCTAAACATCCAAAAAGAAACAGGAAATTCACCCTCCATATTTCAACTCAACTCCAATCAGACTTTTTTTTGGAGGGTGGAGTCTGGTCAGTGGCTGAATTGCTTTCACCTGGCTGTGATGACCTACGTATCTTTTTTCCTCTCAAAATAACAAACAGTTTCCATGACAGTTTTTATTAGGGACAGTGGTGGTTCTGAGGTAGAATTCTCACCTTCCAGGTAGGAGAACTGGGTTTGATTCCTGACCAATGCACCTCATGCACAGCCACCACCCATCTGTCAGTAGAGGCTTCCATGTTGCTAGGATGCTAAACAGGTTTCAGCAGAGCTTCCAGACTAAGACAGACTAGGAAGAAAGGCCTGGTGACTGACTTGCAAAAATCAGCCTGTGAGGCACAATGGTCTGATCTGCAACTGATCACGGGGATGGCGAAGGACAGTTGTGCATGGGGGGTCGCCATGAGTCGGGGGCTGACTCGATGGCAGCTAACAACCACCACAACATGTTTTTATTATCATTTTTACTGGCTGCATAGTATTCCATGGGACCATGCTAGGACTTGTCTAGGTGGTCCTCTGCTGTCTGACACTTGGGTTGTTTCTGATTGCTTCTACCATAGTCACAGACAGTGCACGTATATACATTTGGCCATATTTCAGATTGTCCCTGGTCTCCCAGAGGTGGGGGCTTCTGACACAGCCAAATTACTTGCCCAGGGAAGGACCCCTTGTGACAGAGCCCTTTTCTGCCAGCTGATTCCTGTATCCCAGGGTCCCTGGGCACCCAGACTGCAGTAGGGTTTGTGTAGCGGGGAGGGAAGTTGTCAGAGAGCAAGGTGGGGACCTGCCCACCCCTAACTCAGCCCCTGTCCCATCAGATCAGCTGACTCAGCGCCGAGGGGTCCGGAGGCAGCAGGAGAGCCAGCTCACGAGGCACCAGCACCCAGCAGCTCCCAATCCTCTGGGTCCATGCTGCAACATGTGGTTCCGGAACATTCTCTGGGGTGGGGGCTGTTCCCATGCACTGCGGGTGTTGAGCAGCATCCCTAGCCCCCACCCACTCAATGCCAGTAGCAACTCCCCCCTTGTGACAACCACAAATGTCCCCAGACATTGCTAATGTCCCCTGGGGGCAGAGTTGCCCCAGGTGAGAACCACTGTTTAGGCAAACCAATTCTTTCCCATGGAAGCCCTCAGATCTGCTGTGCTGCGTTCCCTGCCTTAGTTTCCTCATATGGAAAGCTGCGACACTGCAGCGAGGGTGAAATGACAGATCGACACCCAGCCCAGGGGCGGGGCTGGCAGTGAGTCTGCCCTGATAAGGGTGGCGGGCCAACTTCAAGGTGCTCACTCTGTCTCCCTCTTCATCTCTCTCCTCTCTCTCTGTTTCTGCTGTCTCTGTCTCTATCCATCCCTCCCTCCCTCTCTCTCCCTCCTCTTCCTCCTTCTCTCTCTTTTCCTCCTCTGTTGATCTTTCTGTCTCTCTCCCTGTCTCTCTCTTTACCTCTTCTCCCTTCCTTCCTCTCTCCTCCCTCTCTGTCCCGCTCTCTCCCCCTTTCCCTTGCGCTCTCTCTCTTTTTCCTTGTCTCTCTCTTTCTTTGTCTCTCTTTTCCTCTCCTCCCAGTCATTCATTCAGCAGACACTCCAGGTGCCCCATCTCTCTCCCTGTCTCTCTCTCTTTCTCCCCCTCCCTCTCTCTCGGTCTCTCTCTTTCTCTGCCCACTCCCGCCCCCACCCCTCTCTGCAGCATCTATTCGTTCAGCAGACACTCCAGGTGCCCTGGAGCTGAGAGTCTCGGAGAAGCAGAAGTGACTCAGAGCTGACTCAGCCTTGAGCCTCTGCCTGGAGCTAATGTCAACAAACACTGTCGAGTAACTAGAG